GGCGCCGGTGCTCGGCCTGCCAGCGGCTCTGCAGCCCCAGGTACAGCGTGCGGAGGTACCTGCATGGGGGGCGGCAGGGTGAGACGAGTCCCCGACATTTGGGCAGCTGAGCTCACCTCCCCCTGCCCATGCCCTTGTGTCTGCTGCCAACCCTCTCTGGCAAGCACTTCTTCCCAATCTGGGGCCATGGAAAGCCCCCCACACCATGGGCAGGGGGCAGTGGCAATGCTGAGCACGTCCCTGTCCCACCCCGGCGTCCTGAAATGCTGGGAAGGGGCAGTTTGTGCAAAGCTGGGTCAGCACCCTGTCACCCCAGGGTGCATCTGGCCATCGCGGTGCCCACACATCCGTCGTGGTACCCACACATCCATCGTGGTACCCACACATCCATCGTGGTACCCACACATCTATTGTGGTACCCACACATCCATCGTGGTACCCACACATCCATCATGGTACCCACCCATTCATCGGGGTACCCACCCTTCCACCGTGGTACCCACACATCTATTGTGGTACCCACCCATTCATCGTGGTACCCACACATCCATCATGGTACCCACCCATTCATCGTGGTACCCACACATCCATCGTGGTACCCACACATCTATTATGGTACCCACCCATTCATCGTGGTACCCACACATCCATCGTGGTACCCACACATCTATTGTGGTACCCACACATCCATCGTGGTACCCACACATCCATCATGGTACCCACGCATTCATCGTGGTACCCACACATCCATCATGGTACCCACCCATTCATCGTGGTACCCACACATCCATCGTGGTACCCACCCATCCATCATGGTATCCACACATCTATTGTGGTACCCACCCGTTCATCGTGGTACCCACCCAGCTATTGCAATGCCCACCCACCCATCACCCCACTCCTCAACCCCCCAGCGCTGCCCCAATGCAGCATCTGGCCCCTCAGCCGGGCATCGCACACACAGCCCCGCTCTGCAGCCACCTGCAGATTTGGGGTGCCCTGGTACCACATCCGGCCACTCCTCCAAGGCGCTATTTTGGTGGCGGCTGGCGCAGAGCCTCCCTTGCCCCCCCTGCACCAGCTGGTCGTGCCACGCTGCCCGCGGGAAGCCCCTGGGCGCCGGTGCCATTGCTGCCACGGCTCTTGGCAGGGCTGCGGGGCCCAGCCATCTGGACATCGACCGGGGGTCAGCGGAGGTGTGCGTGGCACCGACATGGGCACCGGCTGAGTCACCGCCACCGGGGACCCCTCCTGGCGGCACGGGGCCAGATCCGGGCACTGCAGGAGGGAACACGGGGCCGGATGGGAAGGGCCTGCCCGGGCAGGTGCGGCACGGCCGCCCGG